AGCTCTTCTTCATAGAAGAGCTGGAGGTCTTCTTCATAGAAGAGCTGGAGATCTTCTTCATAGAAGAGCTGGAGATCTTCTTCATAGAAGAGCTGAAGGTCTTCTTCATAGAAGAGCTGAAGTTCTTCTTCCTAGAAGAGCATGAGTTCTTCTTCATAGAAGAGCTGAAGGTCTTCTTCATAGAAGAGCTGGAGGTCTTCTTCATAGAAGAGCTGGAGGTATTCTTCATTGAAGAGCTGGAGGTCTTCTTCATAGAAGTGCTGGAGGTCCTCTCAACTCAAGAAGTTTTGTCTTCATTTTTGTTTGTTTTCGGCTTCCGATGATGCAAACTATTTGAAGCATTGGTAAAACATAGAGGTACATGTCCCAAATAAAAATCAACAATTATTACAAAAACTAAAAATTCAACAATTTATTAACCTATAAATGTATCAACAACAAAAGTTATAACTAAACATATCAGTCGGCGGATATGCAACTATAACGATGTCTTCTTATTGACGGAAAATAGAAGCAGGCAAGTAGCTAGCACCAGGAGTAGATGGAGCTGGGACAGGAGCAACGGGAGCTTGGGAAGCAAAGTTGAGAACTGGGGCAACACCACCATTGATGCTGTGAGAAGGACCACCCAAACTATCATATTGACCTTGGATAGCACGTTGAGCGTTGGCAGCATCCTCAGGAGTACGGTATTTGACAAAGTGAACTTCGGGTTTGTTGTTGTTGCCGGTGTTGATGGTGTTAAGTTTGTTGGCCAAACTGGAAAGGTCGGCTTGTTTGTTGAGCACATAGATGGCGGTTTCTTGTTGGGCAGCATTTTTGGCCAAAGCAACGGCGGCATCTTCCAAACCACTGTTTTCGGGGCCCTTGATGAAGATAACACGGAGACCCTTCTTCAATGAGTTGGCATATTGGTCAGAGCTGGCGGGTTCATTGAAATCAGCATCGTTGGCGGTGTAAGTGTAGAATTCCTTTTCGAGTTCAGCTTGTGGGGCGTAAGAGGGAGTACCAACGGAGCCTTGACCTTCATAAGAACTGGCACCACCGGTGTAGGTAGGAGCAATGGAACCTTGTTGACCTCCATAAGTGCCAACACCACCAGTATAGGTGGGAGCTACATTGGTGGCAGAAGCACCAGGAGTGAAAGATAATCCGGAGGAGGAGTGACCAACTGGTTGATAGTTATAGCCCAATTTATCGGCACAGGCAACAGCCACTAAACACAAAACAATGAAGGCACGCATTTTTTTCTTTACTCTACTCTTTGGTGGTGGTTGCTTGATTAAACGTTCGTTTGTTTATGATACAATTTCGTAAAAAGTGTATCTTTTATAGCACCCTATACAGAAAAAAGAAGTTACCTCAAAGAAATACCAAAAAAAAATAAATAAATAAAATTTGCATTTTTTGTTAGTGTTTATTTAAAATGCAACAACGCAAAAACACTATAATGAAAATCGGAAGTTTGTTTTCTGCAAAAAAACAAAAAACCAAAAAATTCATTTGAATATTAAGTAGTGCATCAATGTAAATTTGTTTTAATTTATTTAAATATTTCAAATATTTTGTTTTATTTAGTAAATATAGCGTGAATTATAATTGTTATTTCGGTGTGTATAATTTAGTTATAAAAATAACAGATATGTACAAGTTTAAACCAGTTTGAAGTATAATATGGATGCAAGTATATACAGCACTCTGGGAAATTTACAAGTTTATAATGTGCCTTGCCTGAAGTAGTTGAAATGCAATTGTAAAATCGTAAAGTTTTTTTTTTCAAGAAAAGTAGAACTCCAAGTAGTTTAAAAGCGCACTTAGACCTACAATGACTATAGAAAAATACATAAAAGTATCGTGACACATAAAATTTTTAGACATTGAATTGAAGCACAAATGTTGTAAATTCGATTTTACCAAAATTTAATAAAATATTTAGATTTCTACTACTAGTTTTGGCATTTTTTGATAAATTTGACCAATATTTTGCACATTAAGATGACTTTCAGAACGAATAATAAAATGGTTTTTGGATAGGTAAAAAACGTGGGTTTCCAAAATTCCAAGTGGGAAAAATATATCCATTTATAATGTACCTAGAAAATCAATCATAGGATGATTACTGGAGAAATTAATAATGGCAACCCTTTTTAATTTGGAACTCATTTATCAACTTTAAATTGTTTGAAAAATAAATTCCATAAAAGTTTATGCATTTCGAATGGCATAATTTTCATAAAAAAAATAATGAAAATGTATACTTTCTGTAGTTGTCTTTGTGCATATGGTTGTAGCAGGCAAAAAGAATCGAGATAGACCCATGGTTCATTTTGAGAATATGAATACGCATGTCCGTCTGTCCGTCCGTCTGTACACGTTAATTGTAAACAAAGGTCGCATTTATTATTCGAATTGGATGAAATTTGGCGCAGCTCATTCATTTGGCCCAAAGACGAACCCTATTGAAATTGGGAAAAATCGGTTCAGATTTAGATATAGCTCCCGTATAAAGTTTCGTCCGATTTTATGTAAATGATGCACCAAAGTCCCTATATATCATTCAATTTGCACGAAATTTAGCATAGGGTACTAAACTAGGTCCAGAATGATGTGCTCGTGAAAATCAGTTCAGATATAGATATAGCTCCCATATATATTTTCGTCCGATTTAAGGTAAATGGTTCACCAAAGTTCTTAAATATAGTTCGATTTGCACGAAATTTGGCATAACGTACTGAATTGAGTCTAGAGTGATGTCTGCCAAATTTCGAGAAAATCAGTCCAGATTTAGATATAGCTACCATATATAGTTTAGTCCGATTTTAGGTAAATGGTGCATTAAAGACCCTATATATCTGTCGATTTGCACGAAATTTGGTACAACGTACTGAATTGAGCTTAGAATAATGTCTGCTAAGTTTCGTGAAAATCGGTCCAGATTTAGATATAGCTCCCATATATAGTTTCGTCCGATTTCATGTAAATGGTGCACCAAAGTCCCTATATATCTTTCGATTTGCACCAAATTTGGCATAACGTACTGAATTGAGCCTAGAGTGATGTCTGCCAAGTTTAGAGAAAATTGGTCGAGATTTAGATATAGCTCCCTTATATTATAGATTGATTTTAAGTAATTGACGCACCAAGGATCCAATATATGGCTGATAGGAACAAAACGTACTGAAATTAGTATAACCTAACCTGTGACAAGTTTCGTTGAAATCGGTTCATATTTGGATATAACTTCCATATACATATATTTTTGCCCTATTTTAAGTAAATTGGGCATCAAACTCTTCATGTTAGTCAGATTGACATCAAATTTTGCACAACGTACAAAATTGAGCATAGAATTACGAAGTTGCGTTTTCTAGAAGTACAGATGGATGACCTATTGATATTTGTTTGAAGACGATTGATCTAAGTCGATTCACATTTAGATAAATATCGTATATTTTATTTCATGTTAATAGTCCTGTTTAATATACCCATAGTGGTGAAGGGTAATCTATAGTCGGCCCCGTCCGATTTTACTACTTTCCTTACTGTTTTTTTAATTAATGTTGATCTTAAGATATAACTGTAGATGTTATATTTATAGATAATAGAGACTGAAAACTTCATGATATTAAACATTTTGTAATTGTTGCCACTCAACACGTGTTGTCCGTAAATTTCGAACAAGGATATTTTCATTTAACTTTTGAAAGCTTCAAAAGTAACCTGTAAGGAAAGTTCAAAAGCCGGACGAAGCCGACTATATGATACCCTTCACCACTTTGGGTACATACAAGAAATGTTAATATCTACAATATCCTGTAGAAAGAACAGACATAGAATCTTTGTAGGACCACTGAGTTTAAATCGGCGAAATTAAATGTGCTATCTAGATAGACATTTGAACCGATTGAAAAAAAAACATACACATACCATTCTGAAATCGATGAAAAATTGCATGTCAAACGGGCAGACTTCGATCCTTTGGTGTACCATGTGTATGAAATCGAGTATAATTATGTATAGGAGCTATAAATAAACAGCAACCGTTGCATACACCATTTGTTTTTGTTGTAAAACTACTTAAATCGGCTCTATGCATATTCTCAAAAGGAACCATAGGTCTATCTCGATTCCTTTTGCCTGTTACAAACATATGCACAAACACATAATACCTCGTACCACAGTGTGGTGAAGGGTATAAAAGTAATGTAACCTCCACTATTTAGAAGTTCAAAATTGTCTGCTGAATAAAATGACATGATATCGGATAAAAATCTGAATCGGTTTAATATCAAATGTGTGTAGGATGATCTAGGCTAAATACGGTACTCAACCAATCAATATGTAAGATTTTCGTCTTTTGTGCACAATTTACTTAAAGTCCGACAACGATAACAAATCTGGTCTATTTTGACACCAAAACAACATGTTCTACATACTGGCGGGCAGTGTTGTGCCAACTGGACAAACATAAGGGTTTTTGTGCATCATTTACATGAAATCGATAATGCCAAATTGCAGTCACTTATTTTAATTATGAACTTTTTCGATGTCCAAATATCAATAGAAAATGTAACCAAAACATACTCTTATTGTTTGATAGAGAGATTTTTCGCAAACAATAACAAATACCTGTTAGTAGGGCAAGTATACAAACAGTACACATCAATAGTTCCGATTTTTATAACAATGTGATAATCAAAGTAATTTTTATCTTCCAGTATTTAAGCAAATCACACTAACAAGATGCCGTATAATCTAATATTATGTGATATTATGTGGTAGCATATTTAATAAAAAACTTAACTTCCGGTTTTTGGTAGGCTTATACGATTTTCAAAAAGAAATGATTATGATTTGATAAATTCATAAAGTGATAATTTTATGCATTGATTATAGTTTCAGAATTCCATCATAATATATAAAAGAAGCCGCTCTCGACGATAACAGGTCATATTCAAACGAAATCATCTCCAATCAACTACAAACAAATCAATTTAACAATGCGTGCCTTCATTGTTTTGTGCTTGGTGGCTGTTGCCTGTGCCGATAAATTGGGTTATAACTATAAACCAGTTGGTCACTCCTCCTCCGGATTATCTTTCACTCCTGGTACTGGTGTTGGTACTGCCACCAATGTAGCTCCCACCTATACCGGTGGTGTTGGTACTTATGGAGGTCAACAAGACTACGTTGCTCCCACCTATACCGGTGGTGTTGGTTCCAGCAGCCCTCCCTCATTCGTTCCACAAGCTGAACTCGAAAAGGAATTCTACACTTACACCGCCAACGATGCCGATTTCAATGAACCCGCCAGCTCAGAACAATTGGCTAACTCCTTGAAGAAGGGTCTCCGTGTCATTTTCATCAAGGGACCCGAAAACAGTGGTTTGGAAGATGCTGCCTTGGCTTTGGCCAAACAAGCTGCCCAACAAGAAACCGCCATCTATGTTCTCAACAAACAAGCTGATCTTTCCGATTTGGCCAACAAACTTAACACCATCAACACCGGCAACAACAACAAACCCGAAGTTCACTTTGTCAAGTACCGTACTCCTGAAGATGCTGCCAACGCTCAACGTGCTATCCAAGGTCAATACGATAGTTTGGGTGGTCCATCTCACAACATCAATGGTGGTGTTGCTCCAGTACTTAACTTTGCGTCGCAGGCTGCCGTTGCCCCTGCTCCTTCTCCTTCTACTCCTGGTTCTAGCTACTTGCCTGCATCTATTTTCCGTCATTAGGAAACCATGCTGGTAGTTACATATCTACAGACTGATATGCGCTTAGTGATAAGGATTTATAGTTGTTGATATGTTTGTAGTGAAATAAAATTGTTATTATTTTGTATTTTAAATGTTATTATTTTTTCTGGAAACTTTTACATCGCCTACATCGCCCAGCGTGGCCAGAACTTTATTCAGAAATGTTTTTGGATTTTGTTGAAAAAGTGCTAAAGTTTTTATGTATATTCTTGATCAGAATAATCGAGTAGGAAATATTCCTCCTCCTGTCTGTTGAAATTGAGATAGAGCACGTTATATCGATCACAGTGTTTTAAAATTCTTTACATACATTATTACTCCTAATATATCGGTCTACTTTTTAGTGTTGCACCCATATAGCAATACCCCCGATATTCGGTATTTTTGAATCAGTTACGAACTTCTTCAACCTAATAAACTGAATTTTTTTATTTTGAGTTCTCAATGAGTAGAAAACCTACCTACTAAAAATTATCAATACTTCCCAAATATCGGTATTTAAACGAGTTTTATAATTTCGATTATCATTGTGCAGAAAATTTACCTACCTAAAATTATCAATATGTGGATAAATTTCGGGGTAGCTCCGAAATGGATGGATCAAACTACCGAATGAGTGGAGCGGTATTCCCAACATTCGGTAGTTTGGAGACTTTCGGACATACAGGTTATTCCTATTTAGGTACTTTTATGGTTATAGAACATCGTTTCCACCGAAGTGGCTGTTATTTGAAAAATATGTTGGGATTGAGGATTTTCGTGAATAAAAAATGTTCCTACCTGAATGTTTCCAATATAGGTTAATGATTGCTCCCATACAAAGGCCCTCTTTATTTTCGACACTTTACAATATACAAAAAAGTGTATAAAGTTGAACTCATCGTGTGAAATGTACGAAAATTTCAGTGTATCTATGTAAAATTGAGAAACGCTTTTTTTTTAATAAATCCAAAATCCAGGCGCCAGTTCACTTTTTATACCACACACAACTATATTGTCAGAGTATTACAGAGTTGTGCACCCAACTGGTTGTAACGCCGCGAAATATTGGTCCTAGTCCCACCTTTCAGTATACCGATCGTCATATCTAGATTATCTGAGTCGATCTAGACATGTGTGTCCGTCCGTCTGCCCATTAATTTGTTTTGGACCAATCATCACGAAATTGTGCATGTAAGACGGGTTCTGGCCAATGAATACCCTTTTTATACCCTTCACCACACTGTGGAACAGGGTATTATGTCTTTGTGCATATGTTTGTAACAGGCAAAAGGAATCGAGATAGATCCATGGTTCCTTTTGAGAATATGCATAGAATCACTTTCTGAGTCGATTTATGCATGTCCGTCCGTCCGTCCCGTCCGTCTGTTTATGTTAAATTGCAAACAAAGTACAGGTCGCATTCATAAACCGATTTGGCTGAAATTTGGTACAGCTCATTTATTTGGCCCAAGGACGGACCCTATTGAAATTGAGAAAAATCGGTTCAGATTTAGATATAGCTCCCATATATATTTTTGTCCGTTTTACGGACTTTAGTCCCTGCAAATCATTCGATTTGCACGAATTTTGGCATAGCGTACTGAACTATGTCTAGAATGATGTGTGCTAAGTTTCGTGAAAATTGGTTCAGATTTAGATATAGCTCCCATATATAGTTTCGCCCGATTTTTGGTAAATGGTTCACCAAAGTCCCTCAAAAACTTTCGATTTGCACGAATTTTGGCATAGCGTACTGAATTAAGTCTAGAAAGACGTGTGCTAAGTTTTGAGAAAATCGGTTCAGATTTAGATATAGCTCCCATATATAGTTTCGCCCGATTTTTGGTAAATGGTTCACCAAAGTCCCTCAAAATCTTTCGATTTGCATGAATTTTGGCATAGCGTACTGAATTAAGTCTAGAATGATGTTGCAAAGTTTCGTGAAAATCGGTTCAGATTTAGATATAGCTCCCATATATAGTTTGTCCGATTTAAGGTAAATGGTGCACCAAAGTCCCTATATATCTTTCGATTTGCACGAAATTTGGCACAACGTACTGAATTGAGCCTAGAGTGATGTCTGCCAAGCTTCGTGAAATTCGGTCCAGATTTAGATATAGCTCCCATATATAGTTTCGCCCGATTTTCTCAAATGGTGCACCAAAGTCCCTCAAAATCTTTCGATTTGCACGAATTTTGACATAGCGTATGGAATTATGTCTAGAATGATGTGTGCTAAGTTTCGTGAAAATCGGTTAAGATTTAGACATAACTCCCGTATATAGTTTCGCCCGATTTTATGTAAATGGTGCACCAAAGTCCCTGAAAATCTTTCGATTTGCACGAATTTTGGCATAGCGTACTGAATTGAGTCTAGAAAGAAGTGTGCTAAGTTCAGAGTTAGATATAGCTCCCATATATAGTTTCGCCCGATTTTAGGTAAATGGTGCACTAAAGATCCATAGCTAGGCCGATTGACATCGTTCAATTTCATGTCAATTTTCCTTCGAAAAATCGACGTCTATTAGGATACATATGTTGAATATATCCAAAGTGGTGAAGGGTATCATATAGTCGGCCCAGTCCGACTTTACTACTTTCCTTACTGGTTTAACATTGGAAAATTGAACTCATCATGTGAAATGTACGGAAATTTCAGTGTATCTATGTGAAATCGAGAAACGCTACTTGTTTAATAAATCCAAAATCCAGGTGCTACTTTACTTTTTATACCCCAAATATCTAGATTAGCTGAGTCGATCTAGACATGTGTGTCCGTCAGTCTGTCCATTAATTTGTAAACACGATACAGGCTAAAGTTTTGGACCAATCAAATTGTGCATGTATGACGGATTCGGGCCAATGAAGACCTCTATTGTTTTTTTATTGATCGGTTAAAATGGATGAAATGGACCAATAACTTTATTTTGAAGCCAAACCGGCTAAAAATCGTTCAATATTTAGCAGTTCAAACGGACCTAGACTTTTGTGTGAAAAATTATACACATTTGTATTGTATGGGGCCTTATAGCCCTTTCAGCCTTATGGCTAATGAGGGTATATACACTTTAATCGGAATATAAATAAAAATAAATAAATAATTTTATAAAATTTTATCAACATTAAATCCGAAACCTCTTTGATAAAAACATCTTTCTTATATAAAGCTAATAATAAAATCTGTGTGTATTTCCGAAGACCTCCGCAAATCATAGGCTGTGGGTATATATCCGTCGGCAACTTGTTGAAAGTCTTTTTAATCCCTCTAGAGGCCATTATTATATGCAGTATGTCACATATTTTACACGGCGAAGGGGATCTGACCAAATACTTTGAACGGGTGTTTAGATCATGATCATTCAATATGATCGATGGTCAAATCAACGCAAATTTAAAGTGGCCAAATTTTTATTTTATGGTGTAAATATCCACCCCGGGAAAACAAGATTTGGAAAATAAACTGGGTTAGAAAGGGTGCAAATATCGCACTTTGCCTTTGAATTATGTCATCGATAATGGAACTCGGTTCCATGATTGTACAACCATACGCGTACATTAGGAATATCTCTTCATGATTTAATCTTCAATCATCTGCAACTAGAAAGCTGCTTCTCATCAAAGCGAGTAGTGCTTTAAGCACATCACAGAAGTGTCATTGTATCTACTCTCCAGACATCAGGAACAATTTGGGTGGCTAAAGGTAGGATGAGTACAACTGTTAACTAATCTACTCCACCTTAACTAATCTACTCCACCTTAATCTAGTTGCTTAAGTTTTTCAATTGCAGCGGTTATAATTTTGTATTTTCGATATTTTACAACATGTGTTGACATGTCCTCATTTAATGGTCCCACCACAACTTCCGTAGCTTGAAGGTCATTTTCAAATATACTATATTTTTTGGTGTTTTGAATGCCTATAAATAGTTCATCCTTACTAAACTTGATAATCATTAAAAACAAACAAATTTCCCAAATAGTTTTTTACGGTTTTTCGAAACATATTAAAAAATTTTAAATATTTTGGAAAATGTAGTACCAAAAATACTTTGAGGAATAGATGCGCTTTTTGATCAACTTTGACAAACTAATCGCATAAAAAGTACCATATTTGTTAGGGACCACTTTTTCAACATTTTGATTTTTTTTATATTTTCTTACAACATTCTTTAGACAACAACATATACGGGCATTCCATTCTAAAAGACCGAAAACGGCAACAATGACGGATATTTGCATAATTTTTAATCAGAAAATGTAGATAAAGAAAAATATTTTAATGTTAACTTCCGAAATACGTTTTTTTGTTTTATTTATTAATAAATTCATAATCCGCTCAATTTAAATTTAGCATTCATCCGCAACTTTGATCATATAAAAGAAGCCGCTGCCACCCATAAGAGGTCATAATCAAACGAAAACATCTTCAATCAACAATTCAAACTAAATCAACAATGCGTGCCTTCATTGTTTTGTGCTTGGTGGCTGTTGCCTGTGCCGATAAGTTGGGCTACAACTACCAACCCGTTGAACACTCCTCCTCCGGATTATCATTCACTCCTGGTACTGGTGTTGGTACTGCCACCAATGTAGCTCCCACCTATACCGGTGGTGTTGGTACTTATGGAGGTCAACAACGCTACGTTGCTCCCACCTCTACCGGTGGTGTCAGTTCTTATGAAGGTCAAGGCTCCGTTGGTACTCCCACATTCGTCCCACAAGCTGAACTCGAAAAGGAATTCTATACTTACACCGCCAATGATGCTGATTTCAATGAACCCGCCAGCTCTGACCAATATGCCAACTCCTTGAAGAAGGGTCTCCGTGTTATCTTCATCAAGGGCCCCGAAAACAGTGGTTTGGAAGATGCCGCCGTGGCTTTGGCCAAAAATGCTGCCCAACAAGAAACCGCCATCTATGTGCTCAACAAACAAGCCGACCTTTCCAGTTTGGCCAACAAACTTAACACCATCAACACCGGCAACAACAACAAACCC